GGGCTCCATCCTGAACTCCATGGAGCGGCCGCCCGCCGCGGCCGACGGCGAGACGCGGCGCCGGGCGCGGGGTCAGCAGGGCCGGGGAGGGTCGCGGAGGCACCGGGGCAGGGGCACCGGTGCCGGGCGCGGCGGGGAGCGGCGCGTCCCGGCCTTTCGCCCTCAGAACCCCCCCCCCACCACCGGCGCCCGCCCTCGCGCGAGGCCACGCCCCCCGCGGGCTGCCGGTCCCGCCCCCAGCGCCATGGCCACGCCCTTGCTGTATTGATTGACAGTGGGGGGCTCTTTGGCCACGCCCTTGCTGTATTGATTAACAGTGGGGGGCTCTATAGCCACGCCCTTGCTGTATTGATTGACAGTGAGGGGCTCTATAGCTCTATAGCCACGCCCTTGCTGTATTGATTGACAGCGGGGGGCTCTATAGCCACGCCCTTGCTGTATTGATTGACAGTGGGGGCTGTGTGGCCACGCCCTTTCTGTATTGATTGACAGCGGGGGGCTCTATAGCTCTATAGCCACGCTCTTGCTGTATTGATTAACAGTGGGGGGCTCTATAGCTCTATAGCCACGCCCTTGCTGTATTGATTGACAGTGGGGGGCTCTTTGGCCACGCCCTTTCTGTATTGATTGACAGCGGGGTGCTGTATGGCCACGCCCTTGCTGTATTGATTGACAGCGGGGGGCTCTATAGCCACACCCTTGCTGTATTGATTGACAGCGGGGGGCTCTATGGCCACGCCCTTGCTGTATTGATTGACAGTGGGGGCTCTTTGGCCACGCCCTTGCTGTATTGATTGACAGCGGGGGTTCTATAGCCACGCCCTTGCTGTATTGATTGACAGTGGGGGCTGTATGGCCACGCCCTTGCTGTATTGATTGACAGTGGGGGCTCTTTGGCCACACCCTTTCTGTATTGATTGACAGTGGGGGCTCTTTGGCCACGCCCTTGCTGTATTGATTGACAGTGGGGGGCTCTATAGCCACGCCCTTGCTGTATTGATTGACAGTGGGGGCTGTATGGCCACGCCCTTGCTGTATTGATTGACAGTGGGGGGCTCTATAGCCACGCCCTTTCTGCATTGATTGACAGCAGGGTGCTGTATGGCCACGCCCTTTCTGCATTGATTGACAGCAGGGTGCTGTATGGCCACGCCCCTGCCCTGCACCCTGTGGGTCACATGCCACGCCCATCCCAGGCCCCGCCCCCTCCACTGCCCCAAATTTTTGGGAGGTCGCGGCCGCCCTGACCCCCCCGTGTCCACTCCAGAGCAAGCTGCTCGCATGAAGAAGCTGCAGGAGCAAGAGAAGCGGCAGAAGGTGGAGTTCAGGAAGAGGGTGAGTGCAGGGCCGTGCGTCACTGGGCATTTCGGGCCGCTCCCCACGGGCCCCCACAAATTCCTGGGCTCCCCTGGGCTGTCCGTGTGTCCCCAGATGGAGCAAGAGGTGTCCCAGTTCATCCAGGCCACCGGGGAGCCCCGGCGCCGGTTCCAGCCCATGAACAAGATCGAGAGGAGCATCCTGTGAGTGAGACCCTGGGGGGCACTGGGGAGCACTGGGAGGGCACTGGGGGCACTGGGAGGGCAGTGGTGGGACTGGGGACACTGGTGGTACTGGGAGCGCTTGGGAGAACGCTGGGGACGCTGAGGGACACGGGGATGGGAGGATGCTGGGGAC